TCCCTCTCCCTCTCCCTCTCCCTCGTGCGTGTGCCTTCACACACACACACACACACACACACACACACACAGAGACGCAAATCATTTCACCCTCTAACCTCCTCACCCCCACCTATGCCCCCCAAACCCTCATTCTGGGATGCCCCAGCACACTCCCTTGCCTCAACACCCCCAGTATTTGATACCAGGAAAATGAATAGGGGCTTTCTCTTACAAAAGATGGGACAGCCCAGCCTAAGCTGTGCAAGCCCCAGTGGCCACAGGTGAGGTCTCTCTGAAGTCAGACCTGGAGTCCTTCCTGTGGCCAGGCCCAGTGGTTGTCAGCTGCCCCTGGCAAGCACAGCATGGCGAGGTCATGATCCCCACTTCCTCTGCTGACTATGGGGGCCCTGATTGTTAGGTCACCGAAGGAGGAACGCATGAGGCCAGAGTGGTGAGGGATTATGAATGACCATCCGCACACCAGGTGGCTGAGCCTGGATGGCTCCAGCACCCAGTGAGGGGAGTCAGCGGCTTTTGAAGGACTTTTGGCGGGATTTTTCTGGGCGGAGACTTCTTTATGCAGACCCAGAGGGGAGAGAATGGAATGTGGTCACCGCAAGTGAAAAGTGGTCTTCGGCAATGGGAATGTCCATAGTGAAATAACTGAAAAGCCAGTTCCGGGGGATGGGTATCAACTCAATTGCTCCATCACCTAACACTGATGAGAGCAAAGCTGCACTGTCTGTGGCCCCTGCTCTCCCTGGAGACACCAGCCTGGCACCCCCACCCCTGCACTGCAAGACTTTCCTGTCAGACTCACCACCTCTCCCAGCACTGCTTCTTCCCACCGGCAAACCTCTACCTCCTTGTGTGTAAAATGGGGGCCTGCGTTCCTGCCTGTGTACTCCCAGCCCAGCTCTGTGAGATGGTCCGGAGCAGCCCTGTGACCCACACCCATGCTCCGAGGGCGCCCCCTGCTGGCCTGGGAGCAGGGCACGGGATGGGACCTTGAGGGTCCAGCTGAGAAAACGCAAGGGACTTTAGGTCAGGATACGTCCAAGTGGGCTTGGTAACCTGACGGGGCAGAGTTCTTCCTGCACAGGTTCTGAAGCTTCCTGAGAACTCTCATCTTCGCTCCTGCTGACTAACCGGAGAAGCGCAGGCAGCATTCAGAGTGGTGGATGCTTGGCTTCTGTCATGGGGTAGACAAAAGAATAAAAAGTTCAGCCTTTTCTTTTACTTTTTATTGATTTAAATATACAGGAAATCACATACTTAAAAAGCATGTAGAACTTGGTAAATTTTTACAAACTGAACATATCCATGTAACCAGCCGTGGGAAGTCAGGTGGGGGCCATCCCACGGTGCGGGGGCTTTGTGGGTGTGCGTCATATTCCGCTTCACAGCATAGGGCATAGATGGGCTCTTCCATGGAACTTCACCCGGCAGTCTCTGTGCCAGCGCTGTTGTGTCCGTGTGTCTGGCCGTGCTGCATTTGAGGGCCTCACCGCGTCACGGAGTGACCATGGCCTCCTCTCCCACTGCGCACCTCGCTGCGCTGGGCCTGCGGATGGGCCGGGGTTCATCATCCCTCCCGCTTGTGATGGGCACTTGCTGTTCAGGGGCTGTTATAAAAGATGCTGCTGGGAGCATCTAGCACGGGTCCTTTGGTGATATACCTATCATTTTGTTGGGTATCTATTGGTTGAATAGGGGAAACTGCCATCTTTGTTGGTCCGAATGGTAGAATATTAGCAATTTCAGAGAGTTCAGCCTCACAGCTAGTCGTGCAATTGCTGGTGGCAGGGAGTGCCCACGCTCCGGGTCATGGTGCCATGACCTCTTCACGCCCTCACCAGTGGGCAACATCTCCTTCATCACAGCTCATCTGACGAATATTCAGAGGCTGCATCCTGTGAACCGTTTTTAACCCTTTGAAAAGAAGGTGATTTTATGTACATATTAAATGTAAATAAAGCCTCCCAGAGAGTCTGGTAATTCCCCCTGGGAGAGAAAGTGCTGTTCCCACTGAGAGACAGGAGGGGCTGGGGGTGTCAGACGCCGGCTCTCTGGCCAGCCGGGGAGTGCAGCAGGCCCTCGTGTCAATGCAGCCAGATTGATGTGGGTGCAGAGCTGTGGCCGGCTCCCTCCCCAGGACATTGCTTTCTGCTCTCAGCGCCCAGCTGCTGGAAAGTGGGCGGGCCAGTCCCCGTGTGAATGCTCAGTGGGCCCCACCTGCCTGTGGGCAGTGGGCTTTGCCTTTCAGGAGGGAGCCCGTCTCCCTGGTCGCCAGGGAGGAAAGATGCTGAGAGCAGAGCAGCCTCCGGAGCAGCTTGCCAGCTCCGTCACTCCTGCCTTTGAACTTCCTGCCACTCCAGCTTTTCCCTCCTCATGGTCCATGGCTGGCCTTTTTTTGGCTGCGTGTCCTTCCATTTCATGCCATCCCTCCGCCTTCCCTTGGTGCTGTTTGCAGAAACAGCAGTGAGATCATCCTGCTAGCGAAGCGTCGCTCAGGGGATGCCTCTGCTGCTTTTTCGCCCTGCCCGCTGCCGCAGCAAGGGTTTGAGAGCACAGTGGGACCTCGGTTCTAAACTTAATATGTTT